ATGATCTTAAAGATTCTATCATAGTGACCTTGTATAAAAACAAAGGGAACAGATCTGAGTGCAACAACTATCAAGGAATCTTATTGTTGAGCCTTGTTGGAAAAGTCTTTGCCAGAGTTGCTTTAAGTCGACTGCAAGTACTTGCAAACAGAATTTATCCTGAGTCACAGTGTGGCTTCAGAGTGAACAGATCAACAACAGACATGGTATTTTCTGTAAGACAACTCCAAGAGAAGTGTTGAGAGCAAAATAAACCACTATTCATCGCTTTCATAGATCTTAGGAAAGCTTTTGACCTTGTCAGTCGGAAAGGTCTGCCATATTACCTCGGATAGGATGCCCACAAAAACTCAACATGGTACATGCTTTTCACGACGGAATGGAGGGTAGAGTAAATTTTGATGGTACATCTTCAAGAAGCTTTGATATAAAAAATGGTGTCAAACAAGGCTGTGTGCTCGCACCAACCCTCTTTGGAATCTTCTTCGCTATGATGTTACGACATGCCTTTGATTCTTGTGATGAAGGCATCTATATAAAAACCAGGTCAGATGGTCGATTATTTAATCTTAGCCGCTTGAAAGCAAAGACTAAAACATCACAACTTCTACTCTACAGCAAAGAGAATTACTCTTTGCTGATGATGCCGCAGTGGTCTCCTATTCAGAAAAAGGTCTCCAATCTTTAATGGATAAAATATCTTCAGCCTGTAATGAATATGGACTTACACAGCCATCAATACAGCCATCTAGCCAACCATCACTATCGACTCTCAGCAACTGGAAAATATTAACATTTTTACTTACCTTGGTTCCAAGCACAGTTATGACCTATCTCTTGATCCTGACCTAGAGGCTTGTATTGGCAAAGCCACTGCTACATTTGCACGTCTTCAAAAGCGTGTGTGGAAAAACAACTACCTTACCATCTGCACAAAAATGCAAGTTTACTGTGCCTGCGTTCTTAGTACCCTGCTGTATAGCAGCGAAGCGTGGACAACTTATGCCCGACACGAGAAGAGACTTAACACCTTTCATATGTGCTCTCTTCGACGCATCCTGGGTATAAAGTGGCAGGATAAGATCACGGCTATCGAGGTGGTCCGCCGATCTCAATTACCATCAATTGCCGCTCTTTTGTGGCAAAGGAGAATGCGCTGGATTGGTCACCTGAACAGACAACCCGATGGACGTATTCCAAAAGATATCCTATTTGGTGAACTGAGTGACGGCAAAAGATGTACTGGAAGGCCAAAAGATGTGTACAGAAACGACATGCATTTACTAAACATTGACTCAAAGTCTTGGGAATGTTTATCCAAGGACAGATCTGCTTGGAAACAACAAATCCCTTGCGGCCTCAAGTAAAGGTGGTCCTGCTGTACCGAATACCACACCATATACATGAAAATTTTAAGAATTGGGGACTTTTAGATGAGAGAAAATGGCACTTTAATACATAAAAACTAAGAAAATTACTATATCCACCTGAGCCCCATCATGGTTGATGCTGAGGTGAGAAAATGTTTAAAGAATTGGGACTTAGATGCAGGGATGGCAGTTTAATACCTAAAATTTATGTCAGTTAATTTTTAACATTTAAAAAGGGCCACTTTGTATTTTTTTTCAACCTCTGAAAGGGGGTACTCAGCCATCCTGAGCACCCCCACCCCAGGCCCGTATTTAGGGGGGTTCAGGGGTTTGTCCAAACCCCCCTGCGGGAGATGGAGTTCTGTGAAAATTAGGAAGATTTTTTCATTGCCATTTTATTCTGTAGGCCTACAAAAGTGGGCTAAAACAAAAATAGTACATACATGTAGTTAGGGATCCCATGCCAACTATTTAAAATGAATCTTGGAGAATTGGATTGAGTTTACTAATAAAAGTTACTATTATGATAAAATCGAAAAAATTATGATAAACGATGCTTATTTTGTTAAGTACAGGAAATGTGGGCTTTGATAAGGAGTTCCGCATAGTCCCAAGCCGAACCCCACATTGAAATTCCTAAATATGGGCCTGCACCCCGCATACGCCACTGCAGCAATTGTCTTTATCTCTCTTGATTGGGCACACCTGGTTGATGATGAGCAAAGTTATAACCTTTTTTATGACTGTGTTTTCCATAAGTTGTGGAATGTACTGCCGCTGCATGTTTAGATCCTCTTCTAATTGCTTGATGTATATCGTCAATTCCATCCTTGCTTCCTTTTCCCATGGGTTTGGTTCCCAAAAGAGAACCCTTGAAATAACTTCATTTTTACTTCTGTAGCAATGTCCAGCAAATGCTAACCTTCTGCCTCTAAGTTCTTGATACAGGGGGAATATCTCCATACAGGTCTATATTTGATA